GTTCGAATTAGAGAAAAAGTTATCCCTAGATTCGGTCAGACCTGTTATTATATTATTAACTTATTGGAAAAGACTTAAGTKYYCTTHTTTAAGTAAGAGGCACTCGAACTAACATAACAGTACACATCAACATTCTCAACAAGTACAAAGACCGAAATACCCCTTCACTAACACCACTAACAGTATTTTTGTGCCTTGCTTCAAAAAGGCGCACGCCTCGCCTTGCGCCTCAGGCGCAAATTGACCCATATTATTGGTAGGAGAGAGCCCCCTAAAAGCCTTTTCATTCAAGCCCCACGAAAACCTCATCATTCCCTACTTTTCTTCACCCTGTTACCCCCTTTTCTTACACTTAATTTGCCCATTTCTTCTAGACATCTTTATTCAATATTTTTTAGGTATTTAAATATGTCAATGACTTATAAGCCACTAGATAAATGACATTACTTCACAGGATAAATTGCATTCAACTGTACATCAATTATTAAATTCTCAAAGGAAAACTTCTAAAATTAGTAGAATTATTCATTCTCTCAAAGAGGATCCCCCTAAAAATACAAGGCGCTGATACCAATTCTGATAGATCAATAGTTTTATATCATCAAAAATAGGGTAGCCTCCTTTAACAATATAGTGACCATCCAAACCACACACACACACACAAAGGAGAGAGAGAGAACCAACCTAAAGGTGGAGGTCGTCTTGTGACACCTGTAAACCTTGGAGAAACTGCATTTTTATCTGATGCCACCACACCATCAAAATGGCCTAAATTTTGTCCATCCAAACTAATTAACGACCACGAGTTTATATCATCCAACCACTCCAATCTCCCAACAGTAATTCCAAACTTTGCTTCCACTCCTGAAGAAAAGTTGAGCAGGAAAAAAACATGCATTTGTATCCTAGAATTTAATATATAAAATGCTAGCTGACAAAAGAAAATGCATTTTTATCAATGTATACCAGCCTCATGGCACATTGCTCTACAAATAGAGTTCATGCCTGGAACACCAACATATTTCTTGCCTGATCCATCCTACAGAAAAACTTATATTCAAATTGAATTCATTCTTGGGAGACCAAAACGTTTTTTGCCCAATCCATCCTACAATAAATTCATTCATATAAATTCTATCTCTTCAATATATTTAGAAAATTAGCACATATAAGCTACATGTAAACTGTTCTTCCACCATTCTTTCCAGCCACATGGATGGCCAGCATAACTAATCCAGAGGTGTGTTTGGCATGCTTTTAGAAATTTAATTCTGATGAATTTTGCAATTCTAAGAACAATTTTATGTTTGGGCGTATGAAAATTCCTGGAACTAAATCTTTTTTAGGCTCAAAAATCATTCCAAGAATTGATTATTTAGAGTTAAAATTTAGCTTCAAGAAAGAATAATTTTTTACTCAAATGCCATTCTTCAAATAGTGATTCTTTGGAGCAGAATAACCAAACGTAGCCTCTGTTAATTAGGGAAACCTCTGGATTACCACATACACAAGTTTACTTGTCTATGTCAGCTCCATACCCCATTTTGTATTGAACCTTTCCTCTCCTAGTAACAACATTTACACTCTTGATTTATTTTCCTTTCTAATAAACATACCCGAGTTTGCTTGTTTATGTCAGCTCCATACCCCATTTTGGTTAATCCATATTTGCATATAGTGGCCTTTAACCCCATTGATCTGGTGCATCATTTGGGGTCAAATGCAATGGCATTGTTCTGTTTGAAACATTAGGGGTCAAATGATACACTATAGCCAGTCTTCAAGGATACAGTATGCAAATATAATTTGACCTACCCATAGGGATAGCATTTCTCTTGTCACTAAACCTGAAAAATAGAAAAAGGTGATGCAGCAAATCATGCGGAGCTATTTTGACCACCAGATCAGCATCCATTGAGACAATAGCATGTGAACAGCAATACTTCTTTATCCGCACAAGTAGGTGGCTTCTTTAATGTATGCATGAAACATGGCTGTAAATTATGCCTTAGAGGGCTACAGGAAAAAGCTGATAATGATAATGTATATGAATCATGAGAAGGGGCACTGAGAAAAAAGCTAGTCTGTTCTCATTAAAGGCCAGAGTTTGGGTTTGCTGGGACTGGAAAACTTCCTCAGCAGTTGAAGGTGCTGCAGGCTTGCCTACTCGGAAGGTTTCTCAGGGCATATGCTGACTTAAAGAAGGTAAGGAATTGGATGGTAGAGGAGTAGAGTTTACACGACCCATTGTAGGTAGGAAGACTTAACGCAAGATTATTCCTTGTTATGTTCAACAGTTTAACAGAGGTGGAAGATGTCTTGGAGTTCAAAAAAGATCAATGCAGATTGCCTGAGTTACATTTAAGTCAATGGAATCCATCAGTGGGAGCCCTGAGAAGAGCACCAGGATGAAGAATTACATGGAAAAAAACATGAATAGGATTCCATTACATGCTTGGTGCATGCAAACTTTCACTGTGATTGGAAATGTAGTTGGGAGATTTTCAAAGATTGATTGGAATTGGAGAAATAGAACTTGGCAACTTGGGAGCAGGTAGACAAGGCAAGAATTTGTATCGAAATGGAAGATGTTTTTCAAACCCCATCTGGTATTATGTTATCTTCTGCACGTGAAGACTATTAATTAAAGTTATTGGTGGAAGGGAAAGACCAAACTGTGTTGAGTCTAAGTCTCTAAGAAACTTCAAAGAGAAAATATTAGAGTGGACATCTGATGCTGGAAGGTTGAGCAACGTAAGCTCATAGGGATCGGTATCTGAAGGTGTGATGGAGAAGATGAAGGGTGTATGAAAGGAGAAAGATGAAGAACTGGTTGGTGGAGAGAGAAAAATGTAAGTTAGGCATGGCTTTTTCCTGAAACTCTCCCAAACTTTTCAGGGATTCTCTTAAACTTACTCTTATTTTTCAACTTCTCAATCAAGAACCCCCCTTTCAACATTAGTGACTATGACAGAAATGGTCAACATGCACCATTAAAATTATTTAACGACAAAATTAACCCTGATCAATAAATCAACCTACTAACTAATTGTTTATGATAAAAATACCCCTGGTTCATTTCTTTCCACTATGTTATGTTCTCTCATTTCACAGCCCATCAATGGTTGAGTTCATCTTCTCATTTGTTCCTTAGAAAAAATAGGTTTTAATATTTGGCCTTCACCTCTAAATCAAGTGAATGGTTACAGGTATTTTGGTTTAAAGGCCAGAGATGAACAGAGGGTATTATGGTAATCTTGCAAAAACTGTTTTGTCTTTTAACAGAGAATGTCTGACCAGGGGGTTCCTGGAGGTATCTAAAAGTTGGGGTAAGTTTAAGAGGATCACAGAAAAGTTATGTGGAGTTTCAGATAAAAATCCTTTCAGCCAAAGAGTTACCCAGAAAAAAATGAAGGGAAATTGAAACATGTGGTTAAAGATTTAAATTAGGGTATGCTAAAGCAAAGTGTTAGATTGTTTTCAAAAAAGGTATGCCACCTTAAGAAAAAGGTGAGATATTTTAGTTACTCAAGAAATTTCAGAACTTAGATCAAATGGATTATGAAGAGGGATGGTAAGAGTTGAAACTACATCTGCTGCGACCATGGTCACAGCACTCCCTTGCAACCCCCCAATGAAACACAGGCATGCCAGAAATTGAAATTAAAAAGCACTTCATGTGATGTTTCGAATTTATTTCCATTGCTGACCTATCTTTGTTTCATGGGGAGGGAGATGCTGCAACCAAAGTCACAGCAGGTGCTTTCATAAGGGTTGGGTCAGGATGTAAAGTAGATCAGATGGCAGACACATGGAAGACTCATTTAAGTAGTTGTGTTGGCTTGCATAAAGGGCCAGCGAAAAAGTCTCTTTACAGGTCAAGAGAGAAGTTTAGTGTCAGTACAATGGGGTCAGTCAAAAGAAGAAAGTTAGTGTGGGGCCCACCACTTAAAAAGAAAAGTAAGAGATTGAAGGAGAGCAGGACAGGACATTATTTAAAAGTTAAAGCTGTGAGGGATAAAAAAAGGAATTTTATTCAAAAAAAAAAAAAAGTGGTGAGACAGAGAAGATGAGGCTACTGGAAGTCAAGAGGTTTTAGAGAAAAGGAGAAAGCCAGGGAAGAGAAGGAGAAATAGGAGTCAGTGGTTACTATGTTTGATCAAGTAACCAAGATTTGGGACACAACAGTAGTAGATGACGATGGCAATCCAATAAAGGAGTCACCCGATCATAACTTGCTTGAAGAAAGTCAAAATGTAAGTTCAAACAAAATGATCTCAGTGGATACTTGTCTTGAGCCTCAGTTGAAGTCTTTTGAGGAGAATTGACAGCAGTATCAAGGGAGACTAATATCAATGTCCAGTGGTCCAAGGTTGATCTCACCAATGATGCAGCTCATTTGGATGCCTTCCATGATGAGGGCAAGGTGGCATCGGTGGCTGAATCTGGTAGACTTAATGAGAAACAGTTGTTGAGGCTACTTATGTGTCACTGGTTTGTGTGGAGGATTTATAACTGGCTTTTTCTGTGCCACTATGCTAGAAGGTACAAACTGCAGAAGTCAATCATTTAGCTAAGAAACTGGTTGAGAATGGTGAGGTTTCACCTCATTCTTTGGAGATCGGTAGGAGTGGTCCAGAGGACATTGATGAAAATGAAGGTATGGTCCGTATGGATGACACCTCCAAGAGTCATAATTCAGACATATATTGAAGACAGGGAGAAGACCAAATTCATAAGAGGATTGCAGTTAGTAAAAATGAAGTTACTAAAGAGCCTAGAAGAAGAGACAAAAACACTCTCATCGAGAAGACCAAAATAAACAAATAATTTTCGTTTAGTTAATGTAACTAAGAATTTTGCCAGTTGAAAATGGTCTTTAGGGGGCAGGCCCATAATAAGTTTAAAAGGATTCATACAAGAAAGGGTGTGAAGGACAAAGCCTGAAATTATAAGGTTGTTGGCAAAGGTTTGACATCTGATCAGATGCAACAATATTCTGATAATGTGTCTATGTGATCGACTTCAAAGCTCTCTGTGGCAAATTCTAATAAGACATTTCTAGAATAAGCAGGGAAAGAATATAAATAAGTAGAGGAAGCTTCCTAGATGCAAGAAGAAGACGAGGAGAATTTTGACCAAGTTAATCATATAGAGAAAAACATCGACTTAAAATGGTTATTGATTAGGTAGTTCAAATAAGTAAAACATTAGATCCCTTTTTCTTGAGTGCTAAAGAGTTCGCAAGAAAGTCTTTTATGGGTTGGGGAAAAGGGTGAAAGATCTGGAGTTGGGTGTGTGGATTCATTAGTTGGAGTACTGTGCTGTGAAGGCTGATATGGGCTGCTCTTGCAGGTCACCAGAGACTTCACTTCATGCTGTTTGAGATCTAAGCTTTGGTAATGGGGATGATTGTTTTGGGTGTTTCTAAATGAGGGGTGTCGGTTTTGTTTTGTTTTGTTTTTGGCTACAGTTGCTTCTTCTCTCAGGTGATTTCTTTATCAACTTTTCTTGTATCTTTTTCCTTTTCTAATGAAACTTTCTATTTATTATCAAAATAAATTACATGCTTATGTGATTTATCCTCCCCTTTTCATAGGATAAGTAAAAAGTTTTCCCTGAAATTAAGAATGAAAGACATGCACAAAAGAAGTATTCTTGTATTTGCTTTTATTCATGTATGATTGTATGCACACGATATTTAATAGATAAATATACATGAGAACACTATTTAAATTGACCTCAGAAAGGATAATGAGCAATACTACTTACAGATTGGTAAGGTAGAAAACATTATATTTACTTACATATTTAAAACATGTTTTTATATGTAGTTTAATAGTTTATACTTATTTGTTTGTGCTAAATTAATGTCTAAATACTAGTTAGCCTTTTATGAATGTAAATACTTGTATGCCTAGCATTTACAACAGTTATGTATACATATCTATGAAATTTCATATGAAAGTAGAATAGTTAGCCAACTTTTTTAAAAAAATCTAGCAACCATCTGTAGCCATGCTTAAAATTGAATATGGAACAGCATAGACTTGAATTCCAAGCTCAACCGAGAATAGGACAACACTTACATTAGAAAAATATAACATTGATAAGATAGCACTTGATAAAACTAAAATTAGGAGCATTAAACCTCTTATTTATTGGCTGATTTTTTGGAGGGATTATAGTTGAGTCCAATATGAGGTGAATCAAGATCATTTGTGACATCTGAAACCTGTTCACTCACCACTTAACAATGAGGTAATCAAAAGTTTTGTTGGTATGAAATGAAAAGGATGAACATAGAAAAAGACAGTAGCTTTACAATAAACCACCATCTATGGACAAAGTGTCCTTCCAATTAAAAGCAAATCTCTACTGTGTAAATACCTGAAATCTCTAAGAACATAAAATCAATCCATAAGCAAGCTATACATATCAGCACATAATTGGGGAAACCTTCTCCTTACCTTCAAAAATCCTTCGGTTTCTTTCTTTCCAAATGCACCATAAGCAAGATACCTCATCCCTTCCCCTTAGATTGTAAACTTTCTGGTATTACCCCTTAGATTGTAAATTTGCCATACTACATTAGGGATCACACTACACATGGACCCCAGCAGGATGGTTTTAAAAGCAAAGCAGCAATCAAAATAAACTAACACTCAGCAAGAAAAGCATAAAAAATAGAAGGGAAATGGCCATCCTGTCAATCACAACCACGTGCACGGTCTACGACACTTGGAACCACAAATATGTCAACTAGTGTAATGGCCACCACATCTTTTAAACAGCTATATATGCTACTTTTTCTTTTTGTTTTTTATCAGCAACACACCAAAGGGACTTCATTTATATGATTTAATGGTAGAATTAACCCCATTTAAGCAAAGAAAGAAAAGCAATACAAGATAATATCCCCAGCACAAACTCCTACATAAACTCAGAGAAAAAAAAATAGAAAAGAGTAGCACAATCAGCCCAAATCCAAAACCTCCCAAATAAAGACACTCTCTACCCACTCCCACTAAGGCATTTAAAAAACTTGTAATCCCATTGAACAAGCTATTGATTCTGTACATCAAGGACCTAATCTCTCTAATGGTGCACCTATGTATTCAAAGTCCATCCTCAGCTGATTGCTTCCACCTGGTTATGACTTCAAAGACCCTTTTGACTGGTATATTATCTAAATCCCAGGCAAAACCCAGTTTTAAGACTTGAAGAATAAAATTCACTTCTGCTCTTATTGCACCGATTTCACCTATATGCCATGAATATTATAAATGATGTTTCCATTTGTTCTTACAGACACACCCAGAAGGGAGCCTGGATTGCCCCTGGAATGGCCATCAATGTTTAACATGATTCTTCCGGCCACAGTATGGAACTCTTCTCTTGTAAGCACCCAATATTCTTTTATAGTTTAAATTTCAAGTATTTCGATGTTCCCAAACACTCTGAAAATTGCGGCCTTTGTGCATCTCCAAAGGAACTTCAATCTTTTTTTATGGGAAGATTTATTGTTAATGATTCCAAAGGAACTTCCATCTACATATACAGAAGATCAGTAAAATATTCAACAAAAAGGGTTTATTGTAAACCTTTTCAGTGTCAACAAATTTGCAAGAGATACAGTCAAAAGATCTGAAGGTTTCCTTCCATTCTGCAACCAGACCTCTTGCTTCCCACTCATGGACTAGATTCATTACATTATTATCACTGACATTAAAGAAAGGAGCACCATGGTCGAAGAAGAGTTCCTTCCCATCTTCCGTAGTTTCTCTAATATGAAATACAGAGAGAAATCAAAATAGGCAAGAAAATAGGCAAAGCTAACTACGAAATCTAAATTTTAAGATAATAAACGATTGCAAAGCATTAGATGTCAGAAACTCAACATAAACATCATTATAATTATGTTAATATTTTAGTAAAACAAATACAAGCCATCGAATAAAACATTTTAAATTAAATGTGTCATAAAAATAATTAAGAGGCAAATCTCCTATCAAAAGTAACAAGGAAAAAAGATAACGAAATAATGAACCTCCTAAGCTGAAAGAAATTTACAGAAAATGAAATTCAAGAGAGAAAATGGATTACAAATAAACCCAGCTCGCTTAAAAAGAAAAAAATGGCAGATCCCACCGAAACAAACGAAAGAAAGATCCCCCTACATCCCACCAAAAGTAAAATAAATAATAAAAATAACTAATATAAAATAATAAAACCCAGAAATTAGAAATAATAAAATTAAAAGAAAACACAAAGTTACCTCCTTTGGGACATTCTGCCACCGGGGCCTCTTCCGGACTCAAACACAGTGACGGATACGCCATTTCTGGCCAGAACAGAAGCACATACGGCGCCGGATACTGGCACCCACACAAATTATCACTTAATTAGTTAATTAATTAAAAAAAAAGAACCTACTGTAGAAGGTATGCACGGGACGCATATCCACTTCCATTTTAGCTTTCCATACATCAGAAATAAGTTGGATACGAAGTTGAAGAAATCCTTACTTCCACACCCCAACACGGCAACCTTGTTAACGACACTTTTCATGTCTCCTCCAGATCGAGTTGCAGAAATGGCAAAGCTCCGGAACAAGGAACTATGAGGCTCTTTGAAGATGAGATACTCATGCACACGATGAGGTCGGTGGCAGTTGAGGGTCGAAGTCAAAAGGGATGAAAGCCATAAAGGCAATAACCGTCCAATTTCACTGAGTTGGGCTTCCGTTGGCGTTTATGGATGGGGCGTTTATTTGTAATTTTTGACTTTAAAACTTTATTTATATATTTTCACTTTAAACATTTGTATTGTTTTTGTTGTTTAATTGGACTTTTTTTTTTTATTCTCTATCTCATATTAATACCCATGCAACATTAACATTTGATTTTTTGAATTTGATGTTTCCCCAAATGCTAGGTGTACAAAAATCAAAATATTTCAGTTTTTTATCATTTATTTGATAAATAGTGAAACCAAACATTTGTTTTATTTTACTTTATTTGCAATAAACACTAACACCTATGTGCTACTGATGTGGTGTCATTTTTTCAATAAATGTCCACGGAATCAAACACAACCTCAATGGTTTTAAAAATTGACCCAGAAAATGGAACCACTTTGGTCACCGATTTTGGTCAACAGTTCAACCATTCGGGTCGATATATATGGTGGGTTTTGTAAATTCTAGACTCTACCCGCCTCCCTAAACCTTCCAATCCATATTTGCTCCAAAATCTATATTGGGTTGGATTTTGAGAATCCAAACTCTCCCCACACATAGAAATACAAAACCCTCCCCGCATTTAAGGATAACGCATGTTGAGTTTAGAATTCGCATCTAATTTTCTCTTACTTATTTTTATATTTAAATAATAAATAAGTAAAATAATAAGAGCAACAAAATTTTCAATTATTTAATTAAGACTTGTAAAAAACACATTATCAATTATCTTTCATATATATATAATTTATTATTAAGTTCAACACTTAATAGATAAAGTTCATATGCTTTCCAACAATATGAGCGAGGAGGATGGGGTTTAGCCCAATACCCTATCCATGCTTGTACGGATTATAAAAATCCAAAATCCCTCCTTTAAGCAAAATAAAAAAAAAATACCCCCACGAAGACAATATGACCAGAGGGGTGGGTATACCAGGTCCGGATGTAGTAGGCACGTTAGGTAATTAATGAGTAAGCACCTTAATAGCTGTGTCACTCCTGTCCCATCTAACGTTTCTTTCATCCAAATGTTTTTATTCCCTTACATATGAATTATCTATTATTTTATTATTTCTATCAAAATAATTAAAAATAAAAATTAGTGAAAAAGTAAAACATCGTATCTTTCTCCAAGATTTTTGGGTCGTCATCGTCAAAGTAGATTAGAACAGAGAATTTCATCGAGAGATATTTTTTGGGTCATCATCGTCATCGTCAAGATAATAACTGAGTTTTGGTTTGGATGTAGAGTAAGTCATGGTACAGATAATTGGGTCTCAAGGGATATTTTTCTGGAGCGACAAAGAACATGGGGTTGGTGGGTTTTCTGCTATAGATGGCTTTAATAAAAAACATTGTTGATACAGGCGATGTTGTTGATGGGTTTAAATCTTCAGGAACTGACCCAAAGCATATTAAATTAATGGAATTCGATCAACAATAGCGTGGATCACTTGACCTGTCGAATGTCTCTCACCAAGTTAGCCCTCTTGGATTGAAACTGAGTAAGACTGCGTCATTACCACTACAGAGTAAGACTGTATCAGCAAAGTGCGATTCTGCTCTATCCACTACCACTTTGAATATAACCATATGCTCAAGGATACAAGGATGATTACAGATCAACTTGTTACACAACTAGTTGCAGAAAAAATGAAGGATTCAAATTTCCCAACATCCTTTATCAGAATCGGCAATTGGGAGAGAATGTCGAAATACGAAGGTGATTTGGTAGCGAAATGTTACTATGGAAAACGAAAACTGGTGTGGGAAGTGTTGGAAAATGGGCTAAAGAGCAAGATTGAGATCCAATGGGCGGAGATTTCTGTGATCAGAGCAGTCTTTTGTGAGAAACAGCCCGGGGTTAGAAATTGAGTTGAATCATCCCCCACTCTTCTTCAAGGAAACAAATCCTCAGCCTCGAAAGCATACTCTTTGGCAGCATGCTTCGGATTTTACTAGAGGCCAAGCACCAATATTCAAGAGGCACTTTCTCCAATTCCCTGAAGGAACTCTTGAGAAGCACTATGAGAAGATTCTACAATGCGATAATCGTTTGCTCATGTTGAGCCAGAGACCATTCCCTGATTTTAATAGTCCTTACTTTCAATGACATCTGTATGGACTTGAGGACTTCTCCCACGAATTCAATGTGCCACAACCGGAAATACCACCCCAATTTCAGTTTTCCCATTTGGGTTTCCAGAGGCCCGATTCAGCCCCTCTTCAATCTGTTGAGAATATCCAGCCAATAAACAGACTGCCCGTCGGTGCCTTTGGTTCAACTTCACCATTGTCGGTTATGGAATTCCCACCCATGGAAGACAAAGGATATAACCATAGCCGGAGTTCCAATTGGGGACAAATAACAGACGTTGTTGAGAGCATTCAGACAAGAAAAGTGGATCCATTGTATTCACCTTTCTCTCGACAGGGTTCTCATCACCTACTGACTGAATCGGAACAACCTCCTATAGATAACTGGTCACTCAAGGAGGTAGCCGATCAGTTGCTGAATGACTCACAGACAGTGGTGTTCTCCGACGAGTTCTCCAACCTTCTGCCGTTTTGGGTTCTCCCACCTCTGGACCTTCAAAGGTTTTCCTTTTTCAGTTTTTTATTTTTAATTATTTTGATAAAAATAATAAAATAATAGATAATTCTTGCCTAACGGAACAAAAACGTTTGGATGAAAGACACATTAGCTGGGACAAGTGTCACACAGCTATTAGGTGTTCACTCATTGTGTTTATCTAACGTGTCTACTACATCCAGACCCGGGTATACCCACTAGGTAGGGTGGAAATTGCCATCCGTAATCATGGTGGTCTCTTTACAAGCAAGGCTACCTTCCATCAAACATTAGAATCCCTTAACGTTAAATAAGACCCTTTTAATATAGACATTTGTCACTAAAGTGTTGTTTGGCATCAATGTTGATTCTTCCTTACCATTTTTTAAAAGATAAGTGAACTTTGTTCTTTGGTAGCATTTTTGAGAAGTCAGCTTTGAGTTTGTTGGTACTAATTCTCAAGGGCCGATTATTGTTGCATTGGAGTTATTATTCAATGTCACGTCGGATGCCATGTCATCCTCAATAAATCAAAAATCAATAGGAAATAAGGGAATCACCGAATGGTAATCCCTGAAAAAGGACCAGTTTTAAGAATTGATTTTTGGTCAATTTCCCAAAATTCACCAAAATCAGCCAACCAAACAGAAATTGCAACACTAATTCTTCTAGTGATGACATAGCTCCAACACGGTAATGATTTTCGGGAAATTGGTGTCAATGTCAAACATTAACTATATCACATTATATCAAGTATTGAATTGAATACATGGCTACACATGTTTAGGTTCCATTTGGGAAAGTGCAAATACAAGTATGTAAGGCTGTGTTTGGAAACGATGCAAATAAGTGTGAATGCAAATATGTAGAGTGTAAAATGGTCCATATAAATTGCATAGTTGGGTTAGCTTTGCATTGACAAATTAACTTTATTATCAAATAGACTTTTAGTTGTAATGGATGCAAACACGAATTCCAATAAAGCATATGCTTTTTTTATCAAAAGCCCACTTGAATTCAAATTTACTTATTTTTTTATTGTTGTACTTTTACATCTTATTATCAATGTAAATATGCATTTGTCTGTCATTTGTCAATACATAAATGTAATGTTGCCGACAAAAGTGAACCAAAGTGCAAATTTACCATGAACCAGGATTTACACTCCATTTGCATCGTTTCCAAACACAGCCTAAAGTACATATTGATCCATGCAAACGCAAAGTTGGTTTACTTTTGCATTGATAAATTTACTTTCTTGAAAAATGATATTTGGTTGTAATGACTGCAAATACGAAGAAATATACCTTTTTAACATTGATCAACTTTGCTTTCATTTTGGATGCAAACATGCCTTGAATATTTGTGAAAGTTGACACTTTTATTACATAAATGCACTCTTACCAAACACCAACAAAACCAAATTCAATATATGCATTGAACTTGCGTTTGTAGTCTTCTCAAATGGAGAGTTACAAGGTTCAATAATATGTTGGGGAAAACCCCTTTGCCATGAGTAGACTTGTTCATGGGCTAGGTAGCCAAACGAGCCGACTTATTCATGGTCAGGCTTGGACAAGATTTTCGGCTCGTTGGTTCAGGCTCAAGCCTAAAACACTAAGCCTAACTTTTTTTTAGGCCAGGCTCAAGATTTCTCAAAAAATGTCCAACCTGAGCTTAAGCCCAACCTGATACAAAACTATAATTCTAAAATATACTAAAAGATCTTGAGCTTGACTTTTTTTTATTTTTATTCAACAAGAAAACCAATTTACTTATATTAAACGACCTCGAAACCCAAAAATACTAAAAGATCTCACTATGACTTGAAAAAGAAAACTAGAATATGAACAAAAAATAATTCTAAATAAATCTTAGAGACAAGTGAGAGTGTCTCATTATAGTCTACTCCCTTTTGAGTATTATGCCCTTTGGCCACTAATTTGGCCTTATACCACTCAACTTAACCAATAAGAGTTCTCTTTGTTTTAAATATCCATTTGCATGCAATAGTTTTGGCACCTATTAACAATGGAACAAGGTCCTAAACACCATTGGTGGCCACAGAGTTAATCTCACTCTTCATGGTATTTAGCTAAAGGGTGAAGTTAGAACTATGCATGGCATTACTGAATATAATAGGGTCTTCTTGGAGACATAGTCTGAGGATGTGATGCTACATCCAATCCTATTGGATCTTCTTAGTACAAATGGGGCTTTTTGCACCTTGGCCCAACTTTTAGGCTCAGGTTGTATAGGGGCAATAATAGGTAATTCTGTTGCCATATAGAGCAAACATTTATTTTGTACAACTTATTTATTTTGTATTCATATTATCTTTCCATAAGTAGGTTGTATAGCTGTAGGTAGAGATAAATCAGCCTTTAATGTATAGCTGTAGGTAGAGATAAATCAGCCTTAAATCTCTGTAAATCAGCCTTTAATTATTGTATATTCAGTTATATATTCAAGAAAATCAGAATGAAAAGGCATTGAGCCATTCAATAAAAAATTCTTTCAAAGCAAAAGTTATCATGGTATCAGAGCGCTTGTCTTAGAGTTTTGGAATTTCTAGTTATTCTTGGGTGTTAGAACTTTAGGCCGCTATAGATTGCAAGTTCCATCTGTGTGATTTTTTTCAGAAAGCTCACGTATTTTGGTAATTTTTTTCCCACTCATATTTTGGGTTGTTTATCTCTCTATATTTGTCTTGTTTTTTGCTGAAAATGACTAGTAACTACTCTAAATTTTGTGTTAAATTTACTGGAAAAGAGTTATGGGGACATATTGATGGTACTATTCGAGCTCTAGCAGATGCTACTCAATTGGCTCAATGGAAGATCAAAGATGCTAGGGTGATGTCTTGGATTACCGGGTCATGTGATTCTCAAATTGTTCTTAATTTACGCCCCTATAGAAGTGCTCAAACCATGTGGGAATATTTGAAAAAGCTTTATAATCAAACAAATTCAGCCAGGAGATTTCAATTGGAGTGTGAAATTGCAAATTATACACAGGGGAGTCTCTCTATTCAGGATTACTACTCTGGTTTTCAAAATTTATGGGCTGAATTTTCTGATATAGTSTGTGCTGCAGTGTCTAAAGATTCTCTTGCTGATGTATTGGCTGTTCATGAGATTAGCAAGCGCGATCAGTTTTTGATGAAGTTACGATCAGATTTTGAAAATGCTCGTTCTAATTTGATGAATCGTCATCCTCCTCTTACCTTGGATGTGTGTTTCAGTGAATTGCTTCGTGAGGAACAATGTCTTCTTACACAAACCACTCTTGAACAGGAGAAAATGACTACAACACACATGGCATTTTTGGCTCACGAAAAAAGCAAGGGTAAAGATATGAGTAAGGTTCAATGTTTTAGTTGCAAGAATTATGGGCATATTGCTGCAAATTGTACTCATAAATTTTACAATTATTGCAAAAAGCATGGGCACATCATCAAAGATTGTTTAACTCGCCCTCAAAATCGTCAAAACACTGTTTTTCAAGCAACAGTTGGCAATTCTTCTACGGATTAGATTTAAACTGGGTCCTCAACTATGTCAGCAGTCAACCAAAATGCTCAATCCTCTATTATTTCTCCTGAAATGGTGCAACAAATGATAGTTTCAGCCCTCTCAGCTCTGAGACTCCAAGRTAATGGTAATTCTTTATCTAAGTCTTGGCTTGTTGATTCTGCCGCATCAAATCACATGACTAGTTCTGCTAATTTGCTACAAAATGTCCGGTCCTATCCAGGTTCAGAAAATATTCAAGTTGCTAATGGAAATCATTTGCCCATTACTGGTGTTGGTGATATTACTCCGGTTTTCAACAATGCTTTTATATCACCTAGACTTTCTGATAATCTTCTTTCATTTGGCCAATTAGTAGAAAATAACTATAATGTCCATTTTTCTCGTAATGGTTGTTGTGTGCAGGATCAGGAATCAGGGACGATGATCGCGAAGGGGCCTAAAGTCGGATGTTTATTTCCTCTGCATATTTCCATTCCTAGTAATGTTCCTTTAGCATGTTCTGCTGTTATTAATAAAAATGAGGTGCGGCATAAACGTTTGGGACACCCCAATTCTACTATATTGTCTTATTTGTTGAATTCTGGTTTATTAGGCAATAATAATAAACTTTCAAGCCTTTCTTTTGATTGTTCAACTTGTAAATTGGGAAAAAGTAAAATTCTTCCTTTTCCTCTTGCCAGTAGTTGTGCAGATAAATGCTTTGATATTATTCATAGTGATGTATGGGGGATTACACCCGTTATTTCTCATGCACATTATAAGTATTTTGTGACATTTATTGATGACTATAGTCGATTTACTTGGATTTATTTTCTTCGTTCCAAATCCGATGTTTTTTCGGTCTTCAAGACTTTTGTTGCGCATGTTGAAACTCAATTTTCTACTATTATCAAAGTTCTTCGATCTGATTCTAGTGGAGAATACATGTCTCATGCACTTCATGATTTTTTAAATGAAAAAGGTATTCTCTCACAACATTCTTGTTCGCACACACCTCAACAAAATGGTGTGGCAGAGAGAAAGAATCGTCATCTCTTAGAAGTTGTTCGTACTTTGCTACTTGAGTCTTCCGTTCCCCCTCAGTTTTGGGTAGAAGCTTTATCTACAGCAGTTTATCTTATTAATAAACTGCCTTCTCAAACTCTAAACCTTGAGTCTCCTTATTTTCATCTTTATCAACAACATCCTCAGTATGGGCATTTACATACATTTGGTTGTGTTTGTTTCGTTCATTTGCCTTCTCTTGAACGTCATAAACTTTATACTCAATCTGTTAAATGTGCATTTATGGGATATAGTACAAATTATAAAGGTTTTGCTTGTTATGATTCTTCCTCTAAGAAGCTCCGTGTTTCTCACAATGTTGTTTTCTTTGGAAATCAGTTTTTCTTTCCAACTTGTGATAAGTCATTCTTCGATATTGCTATTCTTCCTAGTTTTGATGAATCGTCTTCTTCTCCTGAACGATTCAAGTCTGGATATGTGTATGAACGACGTCATTCACCACCACCCCTTCCGACTCCAGATCTGTCACCTGATCCTGCTCCGACTATCTTAAGACGCTCCACTAGAGTCTCCCGTCCTCCTAATTGGTATGGCTCCTATCATACATCCTTTAGTGCTGCTTTGTTCTCTGTTTCGGTTCCATCTTCTTACTCACAAGCAGTTAAGCATGAGTGTTGGCAGCAAGCAATGCAAGAAGAACTTCGAGCTCTTCAGGATAATCATACATGGGATATTGTTCCATGTCCATCCAAAGTTAAACCTATTGGGTGTAAGTGGGTTTACTCAGTGAAACTTCGCTCTAATGGGACTCTAGAGCGCTATAAGGCTAGGTTGGTTGCTCTTGGTAATCGATAGGAGTATGGGGTGGACTATGAGGAGACATATGCTCCTGTGGGTAAAATGACTACTGTGTGAACAATCCTTGTCATTGCCGCTTCACAGGGTTGGCCACTTAAACAAATGGATGTCAAAAATGCTTTTCTCCATGGTGATCTCGAAGAAGATATCTACATGACACCTCCTCTTGGTTTGTTTTCCTCTTCTACTTTGGAAGTTTGTAAGTTGAATCGCTCATTGTATGGCTTAAAACAAGCTCCCCGTGCATGGTTTGAGAAGTTCAGATCTACCTTGTTACAGTTTAAGTTTGTGCAAAGTCAATATGACTCTTCTCTATTCCTTCATAAAACTTCTATTGGAATTGTCCTTCTTTTGGTCTATGTTGATGACATGGTTATAACAGGAACGATTTCTTTATTGATTACTCAGCTTCAGCAGCATCTTCGAGAGTCATTTCATATGAAGGATCTTGGCCACCTTACATATTTCTTGGGATTGGAAGTTCAATCTAACTCCTCTGGTATATTTCTCAATCAGCATAAATATACTCAAGATTTAGTTGCATTGGCTGGTCTTCAGGATTCTTCATTGGTTGATACTCCTCTAGAAGTGAATGTCAAGTACCACTCGGATGAGGGAGAGCTACTTTCTGATCCATCTTTGTATCGACAACTAGTGGGCAGCTTAAACTACCTGACTATTACCAGACCTGACATCTCCTTTGCTGTCCAGCAAGTTAGTCAGTTTATGCACTCTCCCCGTCATCTTCACTTGGTTGCAGTTCGTCGCATCATAAAATATCTTCGGGGTACTCCATGTCATGGTTTATTTTTTCCCGCTGGGTCTTCTCTGTGCCTTAGTGCTTTTAGCGATGCCGATTGGGCTGGTTGCGCAAACACTCATCGCTCTGTTACAGGTTGGTGTATGTTTCTTGGGGATTCTTTGATATCGTGGAAGAGTAAGAAACAAGATCGGGTCTCTAAATCTTTTATTGAATCTGAATATCGGGCTATGTCTGCTGCCTGCTCTGAGATTACTTGGCTTCGAGGATTGTTGACTGAGATTGGATTTCCTCAATCTAATCCCACTCCTCTACATGCAGATAATATCAGTGATACTCAAATTGCTACTAATCTAGTCTACCATGAGCGCACCAAGCATATTGAAGTTGACTATCATTATATTCGAGATGTTGTAAATACTCGAGTTATTTATCTTCCACATGTTTCCACAGATTTGCAAATTGCCGATGTGTTTACCAAGTCTCTTACTCGACAGCGCCATCAATTTCTTATTGGCAAATTGATGCTTCTTGATCAACCAGCATCAATTTGAGGGGGGATGTTGCCATATAGAGCAAACATTTATTTTGTACAGCCAATTTATTTTGTATTCATATTATCTTTCCATAAGTAGATTGTATAGGTAGAGATAAATCAGCCTTAAAATCTCTGTAAATCAGCCTTTAATGTATAGCTGTAGGTAGAGATAAATCAACATTAAATCTCTGTAAAACAGCCTTTAATTACTGTATATTCAGCTATATATTCAAGGAAATCAGAATGAAAAGGCATTGAGCCATTCAATAAAAAAATCTTTCAAAGCAAAAATTATCAAATTCAACCATGATAGGTTCTTCTATTGTAACTTGTTGTTCTTCTTGTCCTACTTTCTCATTCTTTAGGACACATGCAGAACAATATAAGAATATCAATACTTAGATTAACTTCTTAGAATTCAAGGTTTCTTGAAGTCCTACTCCCACTTACTAAATCATCCTATAGGAACATTGCATTTCTTGTCTTTATAATCTTTCGGGAGGTATTTGGATAATAAAAATTATATCATTTAAATATCTCAACATACCCTACAAAATGGCCATTGATGGCTCTAGGGTCCAATTTCCTTAGTTAAGAGTTATACACCCTCACTTTTACATTACAACCCCATATGTGTACATGATTTAAACTAGATTTTTTAAACCTATAACTTATAAGGAGATGTAGAGACTATCTTAGTAGGCACCTTATTCAAAATGTACACGGAAATCTTCAGGGCTTCACCCCATAAACTTGTGGGAAAAACAAAGTTGCTCCTCATACTTCTCACCATTTCCATAAGTGTCAAGTTTCTCCTGTTTGCAACTCCTTTTTGATCTGGAGAATGAGGCACGGTGTATTGAGCAACAATACCTTGTTCTCTTATGAACAATGCAAAGGGTCTAGGTTTTTGACCCACTTCTACTTACCTAATATGGCACTCACACCCTTTATTAGACGACATAGCTTTAATTAGTTCTCCTATCTATTCTTTACTTCATTCTTAAAAACCTTTTTATTTTGCCCCAAAATTTACTCCCAGTGGAGGGGTGGCCACCATTTGATTTTTATTAATAATGTGAAAGAGATAATAACCAATGAGGGGGGCACGTAAAAGTCTTACCCCTCGACAAAAACTAGTTACACTGAGATCCAACCCTACTATAATGTAATTACAATTATGAATTTGGCTCAGTTTGGAAGGAGTACAAATGCAAATTTGTAGAGCGTAAAGCCTTGTATTTTGTATTAATTTGCATTTGTACTCCTTCCAAACTGAGCCAAAAAGAAAAAAAATGGGAGGATCTCAAAAGAAACTATCAACAACCTGAACCATCATCCTCGATAATCCCTTGAACCACTCATGCAAGCTCCTTCGAAGAATTGTATATACCATTTGGTTGGGAATTGCTAGCCAATTTAGAGAGCTAGTCAACTACCTTGTTGGCTTCCCTGAATAGATGTGCAATAACTATGTCCATCAACAAAAAAATATTGTTGCATTTGTGCTTTCTAGTACCACATTTTCTAAGGCAGAGAATAATTTCCTTTCACAATTTTAACTAAAATCTTTAAGTCTCTTTCCACTATTAGCTTAAGAATTCCTAATGATCTTGCCAATTCCACACCATCCATATATAAGAGCCTTGGTTTCGGCCATCAAATTGGTTCCAGATCCATAAGAATTGTAGAAGGCTGAAATACTATTGTTCTTGTCGTCCCTAATGATTCCACCTCCACCACTCGGGCCTGGGTTAGTCTTAGCTGATCCATCTACGCTTAATTTAAAATAACCCACGGGAATTGTTTGTATATGAACAGCTGTAGGTTGTTTCATAGTAGGATTAAAAACCTGGATTCCCAAATATGATAAGTCATGGGATTGCCAAGAATTAGATCTAGAAGTGACCTTAAACAGAGGATGAAACTCTTGAGTTCAGAGAACAAGTTTTCAAATAATCTGTTGAATACAACTATATTTTCTTTCCATTCTCCTTTTACAATGCTCATTCCAAATATCCCAAGGAATTATACAGTTTAAAGTATTAACACAAATCCCCCATTGGCTATTTGACTCAACCATTAGCCATTACTGAAGAAGAACCCGTATGGGATCTTCAGGGAAGAAATCTATTCCCAAAGTGTAGCTAAAGTGTTCCATAAACAAATGATCCCAGTCTCAACCTTTGAGTCCCTACAACTACATTTTGAAATGATAGGGATTCCCAAATGATGAAGATCACAAGCAACTCTAACCTTGGTGTTAAGCAATTTCCAAGTAAAGAAAGCTACTTTAATTGGAATCACATTATTCCAAACCGCTTTGTGCCAAGTCACTTTATGCATATGATGTCTTAACTGATTCCAAGCAGCTTTAGTGAAGAAATGCCTATCACTGTTATCCACCCAAATCACCTTATCTTTTTCATTGCTAATTTGAATGCCAGTAGATCGGATACCCAGAGATTGACATGGTCACCACGTATATAGTATAGATTGGATCCCCTTTAAATGCCAAACTCCTTCTTCATCTAATACATGGTACACCCAGAAATTGACATCCATATCTTCTAAGTCAACAGCCCCATCAACAAGAGGACCACTATCCAGCCATTTATCTAACCAAAAGATGATCATGCCTTCACCAGCCATCCATCCATCTTGAGCCTTGAAACTAAAGCTTCAATCTGTTGAAAATTATGTTTCCAGGTCTGAGTTGCATTTGGCAATGTAGAAGTGGAAATTTTTTAAGAGACTTGGTGAAAAGAGTCCTCCAAAGTGCTTTCAAATGGAGATATTGATGAACTTCCTGTAAGTCTCTGATTTGAAGACCTCCATCATCATAATGACGAGTAATTTTATTCCAAGAAATCCATACATGCATGTTCTGCTGCTTTCCGTCTGACCAAAAGAAAATTGGAGAATAGTGTCTTTCTATTCTCTTTAGAACTCCCTTAGGGGTTGGGACAACTATTAGGATATGAACAGGGAAGCTTGCTAGCACATTCCATAACAGTACAAGCTTACCTCCCATGGTCAGAGTTTTGCTCTTCCATCATGAGATCTTATTTTCATTTTTTTTTCAAACGACAATTGAAATGAATTGCTTAGAGCCTGCCTTTAAGTTACAAAAACACCCAAATATGTGAATGGAAATTTCTTATGCACAAATCTAGTAATTCTTTCAATAATATGAATCTGGAAAGGTGATAGTTTTTGCTGAAGTTGAAAAAACAGCTCATTTGCTTGTTTATTCTTTGACCTGAAATAGCTTCATACCTGTTGAGAATCTACATTACCCTCTCTAGAGTTCGCTTAGAACCTTTAGTAAAAACTATGGTGTCATTAGCATAAATACTATGAGTAATACAGGGACATCCTCAGGAGGTAGCATAGACACCATCCTCAAAATCTACACAATTACAGACAGATCTTCTCAAAACTTCCTTTGCCAAAATAAAGAGATATGATGAGAGAGGATCCCCCTTCCGAAGTCCTCTCCTTGAGTAAAAGAAACCTGTAACATTTCCATTCCAAATAATAGAAAACCAACCGTTTTTTTCTGTTTTCATCACCATTGTTACCTAATTGGAGCTTAAACCAAATTTTAGAAGGAAATTTTAGAGGAAGTACCAGTTTAGCCTGTCATACACCTTGGCCATATCAAGTTTTAAAATCGCATTACCTCCATATATTTTTCTATCAATATCTACCACCATCTCCTAAACTAGGGATATGTTATCTACAATATTTCTTCCTTTTTTTGGTAGAAATAGGAGGAGCTACACAAAGCGGAGGTTTGCACCACAAAGGGATAAAATTATGTTTGGATGGGAGAGAGCCTCCTTAGCCAACCAGTCAGCAGCTTGATTTGCTTCCCTGAAAGCATGATGATAGTCCACTACACTTCTAAGATGCTCTCTGGTCTTCCTGAATTCCTTCAGAATTGTCTTCAGTCTCCAAGGCATGAGGTCACCAACAATGAGTCTCCTTCGATGATGATGGGAGAGTCCTTATAGTTCAAAGCTAAATTGTGGGCTTCCTAGGCTGCCTAAGCTTCTGCAACATAAATGGAAGTATCTCCAATAAAATAAGCTTTAACTTCTAGAACACTTCCAGAAGAATTTCTCACAACACACGTAATGGAACAAGAGCCATCACTCTTTCTCGATGCATCAAAATCAATTTGACCACCTGCCCCCAAGGACACTTCCATAAAATGGGTTTACATAAGTCTTTTAGCACGATCTAAACCCCTCCAAAATGGGGTTATTTTGACTATCAATAAATAGATAGAGAGCCCGATCAATAATAGTATCAGGATTTGGGCTTAGATTTTTAAAAATTTATCATTTCTATTCTTCCACAAGAACCAAAGAATACAATACTTTTTACTTTTATTTGATCTAACATTAGCCCACCAAGTTTTAATATCCACTCTGCGATCATTTGGCCCCACCAAAGAATTTTCAATGGCCAACCACACTTGATTTGCTATAGGAAAAGTCCTAAATATGTGATCCACATCCTCCTCCTCCCCACATAAATTGCAAGCAACATTGGAATGGATGCTCTTGTCCCTCACTAATTTTTTTTTTTGTGGAGAGCCTATCCTTAAGAAGCAAGAATAAAAAAAAAATATATTTTAGGAGGAAGTTGAAGGCTCCACACCTTACATCCGAGGTTATCAAAGAGCCTACACCCCCATTAGTGATAAACGCCTCCTTGTAGGGCGATTTCACTGTGAATAAACCTTTTGGGTTTAACCTCCAAACCACCATATCTTCAATATTATCTAAGGGATAACGATTGTTCTAATTTTATGCCAACATGAAAGCAGGATTAAGGGACAGATGTTTTCCTCCCTCCACACCTTCCTATCAAAATTAATGACATCAGAAATATGAAGCTCCCCTCTACTCGAGTTAGCACTCGGAACCAACTATCCCTCTAGAAGTCTTATTCGGGATGCTTATTTGAGTCTTGGAGTCTTGGAGTCGCTATCAAATGAAAATT